TGACCCCCCCAATAAGCAATGCATATTCTTGTCGTCCGACGCCCCAATACGCGAAACAATTCTAGGAATACGCCCCACTAAGCAAAACGATTCACATGACCATTTTTGGAGTAAACCCCCCCAATAAGCAAAGCAACATTGTTTGAGTGACCCCCCAATAAGCGAAACAATTCTAGGAATACGCCCCACTAAGCAAAACGATTCACATGACCCGCTTATTGGGGCGTCGGACGATAAGAATATGCATTGCTTATTCGGGGGCCACTCAAACCATGTTGCTTTGTTTATTGGGGGCACACTCAACACATGTTGCTTTGCTTATTGGGGGGGGGGGGGGCTACTCCCAAAACTGGTAATGTGAATCGTTTTGCTTAAGGGGGCATCTATAACTATGCGCTTATATGTATGACATCCACATGAAAACCGACAAACAAATACGAATCCCGCACCTGTCGGATTGTCATCCTCAACCACATCCATTTCATCCTTCCGCGTCTCACTTTCATCAGCCTGCTCCACGAGGATTTCGAGCTGCTTTTCGAGATCACCATCATCATCAGGACCCCCACCCACTGCGATATCATCTAGATCGCCGTCCTCACGGTCGAAGAAATCCGGGTTCCTAACGACATTGGCCGCATGTGCTGCAACTGATGACTTCGATGAGGAGGCGCCTGTCTCCTTTGGAAATGTACGACGCTTCGTATCCGGACTGGGCGAACTGAGGTCAATTTGGATGGGGCCATTGCGCTTGAGATTTTGGAAAACTGTGGTGACCTGCTCTTTCTTGAGTCGGACACGCATTGTGGCATCATCGAGTATGCGGGGTGCGATTTGTCGTGGTGGTTGTGGTGTGTCTGAAACAAGCTTCGTCCACGAATTGTGACCGTCCGCGGGAGGGTTTCCCCCTGGAATAGGCGGTGAAGAAATGAAGAACCTCCAATGACCAAATCATGTCCTGCTGGAAGCTTTCTGGGGGACTGTGCCTGTGAGGGTTTTTCTTGTAGGCCGATATGGGCTTTTCGGCGGGGGCCAGCAAATCTTTGGGTTCATCCTGTTGCCATGAAACAAACTTCACGTCGTTTTTCGAGGAACTTGCGAGTCGCCAGTAGATGCCGAAATCGGTGATGATGATCATGTGCGTGCGGGCGAGAATAGCATCCATGTCTTCTGTTTCGTCTATGCTCGCAAAGGACTGCTGGATCAACTTGACGAAATTCTCATGCTTGATTTCCCAAATACCTGATGCTTGCATCTTTCGGTACATGTCCTTGTCACACTCTTGGTCGTACGGGTTGTTGCATGCCTGCCGTCCCGCACCCTGCTCGAAATATGCTGACGAATAGCGTGCCCACACGGTGGCATCTTCTTCCTTACGTATACACATATTTATTCATCCATGCAAACTTTCACTTATCTTTATAAGCTATGTATACATACTGCTTCGCTCCTAGACATGCCTAAGCCTCTAAGGGTCGTATTGCATGTTGTTTCAAATAAATACATAAAACAGAATACTACAGCAAATAACTTCTATGAAGCCAGGTCTAATCTTACTTTCGGGCGCAACTTCTCAAAACCCAAATATGACAAAGCCTGTTGAATGTGTTAAGCGAGATTCCGAGGGATTCAAAAACGCTTTGAGGAACGAGGCATCCATCTTCTGCAACATGTCGTCGTCGAAGATGGCAGGTTTGAATTTGGATGCCGGCTCGGACTTGAAAAAATCCAAGTGCTTCGCTGTTACGATAGCCGGCGAAAGAGCATCCCGATCGGCTTGCTCGATTTCGTACTTCGATTGACAAAACGCCACGGTTTTTGAACCGAGACTCTTACCTGTACGGGTTTTCCCGATCCAGGTGATGCCATGTTGACTAATGGAGCCCAGCATGTGCACGAGGATGCCGTCGAAAAACCACCCCGTCATACTCTTCAATGTAAACGGCCAATACTCTAGAGTTTTAGCAATTTTGTCTTCCGCGTGAATAGTTGTGGAGTGCGGTGATGACCTTGCTTGCTTGCCAATTCTCGATAGGACTGCCTGCTTCATGGATTTTTGTGTCCGTCCACTCCATGAACTGGTTCACGTTGTTAGCCTGCAGTCCATGTTCCCGTATGAAGCGATAGCCGGCCTTCCGAGCATCCTCATCAATGGTAGCCTTTTTCTCGAATTTGGGCTGGACCACCAAATCTCGAATCTGTTTACCCCCCATCTTGTCCATCATGTAAGTGAGAGCCATGAGAGCCAGGCGAGTGTGCGTGCCCCAATCGAACTTGAGCGCCAACCCAAAACACATATCAATGCAATCCTTTGCGTTCGCTTTGTTTCTGTGCAAATAGACGTGCTTGAATATGTGCACATAGGAGTCGGTGGTAGCAGGGTCACAATCTGGAGGTGGGCTGCTGGCAAAATGATCATTTGCATGGTATATGGCACCTTTGGTCCTGAACGGAGGCGAAATGGTTCGGGTAGAGCTTTGTAATTTGCGGTGTTGCATTCCTTCACAAGCTTCTCCTCAAAGAAATTTTGCGAGACGTCAACCTTGACATGCTGCACCGCATCACAAAACAGCTCGATTTTGCCCGAAGAAATCTCGAGGAAACGAACAGGAAGATCTCCGACTTTGACTTCACCGGGTTCGCGGATACATGAGACGGGTCTTAATTCTGGGCCCTTCAATCGTAGACCATTTACATGAACGACGGCTTCATCGAAGGTCAAGGACCAGTCAAACCCCCCCAGTTCACGACTGAGCCCCGGTATTGAAAAACCGGGAAAACTCATCGTGACAAACAATTTCGTACAATTTGTTTCACTCTTGAGTGGCAATGGCTACGACGTATGCATATTAGCCCCTGCACGTCTACAT